ACCGGTATGAACGGGGACCTCGTGTTTTTATTGGTTCACATCACGTGCAGCTTTGAGCAGTCCTCACTGTGTGGAAACCTCAACACTTTGGAATTTAAATATGTTTGTTTCTCAACAGGAAGTTCAACTATTCCTTAATTATGGAGTAGAGCAGAAGGTAAAACATCTCAAGAGTAACTCAGCTGAAATGTGGAAGTCATGCTCTGAATGTGACTAATCTTAGCATGAAATGCACGGCAGAGCCACGATCTCAGTCTGTAAGACTTTATTTTTACAGCTCATGGATTACTCCCACTGTCCAAACAAAGAATGCTTTCCTTCTCTTTTCAGCTCTTGATACTTTTTAACTTTACAACCCAGAATTCTCTTCTTTCTCCTACTTTTAACTCTACAAGTAAAAGAGCTTCAAAACCTAAAGTTATATCCTAATTGAAAAATAGACAGTAAGTATTTCAAGCCTTTAAAAGCCTTTGTTTATATTGGGTTTAATTAGAGATGCACCGATCCGATATTAGCATCGGTACAGTTATTGAAAAAAATTATTGATCGGGTATCGATGACAATGTGACCGATCCATAAGGACCGGGGCTGATTGATGTTTATTTTAAATATCTGCCAACCAAGCTAGTGAATCTATTGTTTGTTTGTTTTTTCTCTTATTTCAGCTTTTTTATTATTTATTTTACATTATATTTAGAATTGCTGAACCATTTGAAAGTTGTCAACCTATTGTTTTTGTCAGTTTCAGTATCTTTATTATTATTTATTTTACATTGGATGTTATACTCATAATTGCACTGACTGCACAAATTAAAGTTGCGTTGTTTTTACATGTTTGACTGAGCTTGTGAAGCTATTGGTGTGTTTAAGTGTGCTGTACTGGTGCAAAGTTTTCAATAAATTTGTAATTCAGTACATTTATGTCTGCGTTTTGAAAAACAAGTGTTTTAAGTTAATTCAGCACTGTTTTTCTATATCTGTACCCACCGATACTAAACCTCAGATATCAGAAGTGGAAAAAAGTGGACTGGTGCATCCCTAGATTAAATCAGATCATAAGATGGTTGATGTAAGCTGAATAAAATCTGATACAACAAAGGGTTAATACAACTATCAGCAGGAATTCATAAATACAGGAAAAAAGTTCTGAACTACGTCCTTGTTCAATACAAGATGTTAATAATTATTTTGTTTGTTTTCTTGCATTTTCAGCAAACCCAGTTTAAAGGAACGCCCCAGGGTGGTGGTGATGAGGAAACTGGACCCCAGCGGTAAACTCTGTCGCTCCAACCTGACCCGCCGAGCATCTCACCTCTCGGACACTCTGGGAGGCTGGGCTCACACGGCTGTGAACTCTGTCCGTAAACCCAACTGAACCGCGTGTGTGAAACTGAACCTTTTTTTTCCGTCATAGTTTACTTCTGTTACTGTGGTGTCACTGTTACATGTAGATTTGTTCTGATTCTGTGATTGTATCGCTGCTCATTTTCTGTTTTTAATGTTTTTTTTGTGTTTTACATTAGCCAAATGGGTGTTAAAGATCCTCACTGTAGCTACCACAGGACCTCTGGAAATTATGTCAAAACTGTTACAACAAAATGTTTTAGTTAATTTTTTTTATTTCTTAGGTTTAGTTTTTTTAAGACTGTTTTTAAGAGATGCAATAAAGCAAAACCGTTGAGTTACTAACACTAAAAATGTATTGACTGAGGACGGCTGTATTGTCCTCTACATGTATGCAATTATCCCGCTAACACTTTTTATACCTTTTTTAGGAATAGAAACAATTAAACCGTGCTGTGTTTTATATAAGGGGTCTTTTTCTAGGCAGGATTTCATCTGGGCTTTTTTTCTAGCAGAGGTTGTGATTGCAATGGTCTGTAGATGATTTATGGTTTAATACTTTGCACATAAATCATCTCTTAATGTGATGGGGTGGAGAGTTAAAGGCTCATTACCAGAGGACAGCTGTGATGATGATGTTAGGAAGAAATGTTTAGTAAGCTGTTAGTCTAATGACAACCCCAAATGGACGCACTTCCTTGCTGGTGCTGGTGGATAAAAAAGGAAGAACTGTCTAAATGTGAAAATAAAATAAAAAACTTTTCCAGAATAAAAGCTGTATATTTCAAAGACCCCAAAAGGTTATATTATATGCTCGTATCACACGGGCCATTTTAGCTGTTGGACCTAAAATTGTAACTGTCAGCTTATTTGGTTAAATATAAATAAACTACTTTTTGTGATTGAATAAATGTGAACTTTGATGTGACAACAAGGGGGAAGTTTGTTGGACTTTTTACATCTTGTTAAATGACGGCTAAAGTTTATGTTCTTTCACTCGTTCCATCTTCAAGGGTCTCCACAGCGAGTCCTCCATCCCACTCCAACTACCTCCATGTCCTCGAACTGCATCCATATATCTCCTCTTTTTCCTGGCAGCTGCATTTCTAATCTACCAATATACCCACTGTATCTCCTCTGGACATGTCCAAAACATCTTAAAACTAAGAAACTATAACATGAGGAATTCAAAGAAAGGGAATAAGAGAAACTGCCGGAATTGGAGGTCACTAAAGATTGAAACGGTGCAAAGGGAACGGTACTAGAGGGCTTAGCAAATGAGGAAGGCCCTCAGGAACTGCCGGAATGGAGTTCACAAAAATTACTGAGGAAAGACTCAAAAGGGCAAAAAGAACTGCCGGTATGGGGTTCAGGAAAGTAAAGGAAAGGTGTGCCGAAAGGCTCCCTGGGGACTCTTGGCTCTCCGTGAGGGGAGTGGAGGCTGCCCCCGATATCTTATCGGGTAGCATAAGACCTTTGCTCCTGGAGGGATTGAGGGAGTGTCCAGGTGGAGTTTTGACACACACCGAAGTCGAACGCTTGTACAGTTGGGGAGAAGAAACCCAGGGGGGTCCGCCAGTCAGCCGGGGTCCGGCGTGTGGGGTTGGAATATGACAAGGCTTTCTTTCCTCTCTCGTGCGCTGGCTCTCTGGGGGGCGACGGACACCCCCCCCAGGCCACCTCGTGATGGCCTTGAGGGTATCCGAGTGGGACGCGGGTCATGCTGGAAGGTAATAGATGGCCCGTTGCTTGCTTGGTGCCCTCCTCGATTATACCTCCCGCAACTAGAGGGATAGTACAGAAGGCTCAGAAGGGTAACTGATGCCAAGTCTCGAGGAGGCGGCCCCTTGGAGCAGGCCAGGGGGGGCCTCCTTTCGGGATGGGCCCGCATGTGTTCCTGTACTATGTGGGTTTTCTCCGGGCGCTCCGGTTTCCCCCCACAAATAACATGCACCACCAACCAGGTTCCATTGGTGGTGTGGGTCGGTGGAGGAACCTCTCTAACTTTATCTCCCAGTTCAACCTGTGCTGTACCTCTGATGATCTCAGTCCTAATCTTTTCCATTCTTGTCACTCCAAAGGAGAACTTCAACATTTCATGTTTCCTCTTCTACACAGAGTAGTCTACCTGTGTACTCCTGCCTTTAGTGATGGCCAGATGAAGCTTTCATTCCAAACGGTTCAAAAATACAGGTAGATTAATATATGGTAGATTTCTTGAGGCTTCATGTGCACATAATCCTATTCCCACTGCTGGCCAAAATCTTTGACTTCAGCTGTGTGTGATGGCCTCTTGAAAAATTAAAGTGCCTACATTTTAATTTGTATTGTTTATTCATCATGTAATTCTGTTAGTGTTTGGTTGATTGTAATAAAAGTTATTTTAATAAATGTGGTGGGCAGTACGGTGGTGCAGGTGATTGAGCTGCCGCCTCTCAGCAAGAAGGTAACCGGAACAAATCCTGGCCGGGGGCCATTCTGGGCGAAGTTTGCATGTTCTCTCCATGCTTGCATGGGTTTTCTCTGAGTACTCTGGTTTCCTCCCACAGACCAAAAACATGCATGTTACCTCATTGGTAACTCTAAATTTTCCCTAAGTGTAAGTGAGTGAATGGTTGTTTATGTGGACCTGTGATGGACTGGAATGGTCATATAATTTTCTGAGAAATATGAAAAATCAGGCCTGGAATGCATGTAGTTAGTTGTAGTTGTGTGTATGCGCATTCAAAAAGCGTTCAATACAAAAACAACTGGACTTTATTTGTAACAGAAGACGTTTCGCTCCTCATCCAAGGAGCTTTCTCAATTCAAAGAGCAGAGAGTGAGAGATTCAGGTTATAAGGCTGAGTGAGATAAGACACACACACATATGTAGATTGGCAATTCACACCTAAACACATTAACAGTAAGAGTCTTGTTCCTCTAATTCACAGACGAGGCCCCTCTGTTTCCATCAGGTGTGAAAACCGGCTGGGAATCTGTTTTAAAGTTGCATTATAGGTTTTTGAAAGTGGAAATCTGAGGCCTCCTCCTCTGTTAAGAGACGGCTTTTCTCTTTTTACATAAATTGCTTCCTTCACCCCCTCTCAAACCATCTGTGTTCTCGGTCCAAAATGTGCACATTTTGGTCCTCAAAAGAGTGTCCCTTATCTGTGAGGTGGAGGTGAACAGCTGAGTCTTGTCCTGTGGAGCTGGCTCTCTTGTGCCACTCTGTTTGTGTATGTGGTGGTGGTGTAGTGTATGCGGTCCAGTGCAGCGAGGACTGTCCAGACCTCTACATTGGAGAAACTAAACAGCCTCTTCACAGACTCTTACTGTTAAGGTTTTTTTAAGGTGTGAATTGCCAATCTACATGTGTGTGTGTGTGTGTGTGTCTTATCTCACTCAGCCTTATAACCTGAATCTCTCACTCTCTGCTCTTTGAATTGAGAAAGCTCCTCGGATGAGGAGCGAAACGTCTTCTGTTACAAATAAAGTCCAGTTGTTTTTGTATTGAACGTTTTTTTAATTCATCATGTCCTGGATGACTGAGAATCTTCACCAGCATGTGTATGCGCATAATAGCAAAGACAATAGCGCTCTCATGTGGTGTCTTCTGGTCAGAGCAGCTGAACCGCGAATGGTTCCGTTTGTCCCTCGTTGTTGCCCGTTGCTGGCTCCTCCTCTTTCTCTCCGGCTTTGTACCCATCTTAAAGCACGCTGCGGCTAGCTTCTCTGAAACACCGGAGTTGCTAAACATCTGAAAATGGCTTTCCACGTCCCCAAACCTCCGGGCTTTGCCCAGATGTTGAAGGATGGCGCCAAGGTCAGATTAAACCCGTGTGATGTCGTGGCAGAAAAGCCTTCTTGTGATTTGTTTGTAAAGCTAGCGTATAAGCTAAGGTTAGCCGCTGCGTTAGCGTGTTTCATCTCACTGTCATGTGTGGGAAATTTCTAGAAAGAGCCAGACCGCTCCAAGTTCCCGAACCTGCTTCAGAAATAAATTACTAAAATCTAGTTTTATTTTTAAAGTATTTAAATGGTTCCAGTTAACATGTTTAAATGCCAGCATTCATGTTTACCTATTAAATTGATGCTGCAGTCAAATGTTGCAGTCACACCCAGTTAGCCTTTAGCTAACTCACCAGTGAGGTTCTGAAAGGAACTAGTGCTTCCTATTTGGGTTATCTTAAATCTGTTTTTGTATATTGGTAGTGGTTTTACTGCCTTTGTAATCTCATTGTCACACACAAAGTGCATATTATCTTCACTGTCGCAAATAAAGTGTCTAATTGAAATTTGATGTAAATTGTGAGGCATAGCAGGTGTACGGTTAAATTCAATTCAAGGAAATTAAATAAACGTTCTGCACCTTTCTTTTAAAAGTCAACCTTTTAAGTTTGTTATTTTGATTTCTAATACAGCACTTCTCAGGACTTGAGGAGGCAGTCTTTCGTAACATCAGAGCATGTAAGGAGCTTTCTCAGACCACACGAACAGCCTATGGCCCTAATGGTAAGCTTACATCCTCTGCGAGAAACCTTTACAAAAGGTCTACATTTTGCAGCTCACACTTTGTGACTTAAACTAAGTGTCATTAAAAGTACTCATTGTGGAATTGTTGCAGGTATGAACAAAATGGTCATCAACCACTTGGAGAAACTGTTTGTTACCAACGATGCAGCGACAATCCTCAGAGAGCTTGAGGTGAGTAAAAACTTCCAAAATAAAAGCTCTTTTGCTTGCTACTAATAATGAATTAACTGCATAATAATTATGCTAATTAAATTTTTTTTTTAATATTAAACATTTGTTTTACAGGTGCAACATCCAGCAGCCAAAATGATTGTGATGGCATCCCACATGCAAGAGCAAGAAGTTGGGGATGGTACCAACTTTGTGCTGGTGTTTGCTGGAGCTCTGCTGGAACTGGCTGAAGAGCTGCTTAGGATGGGCCTGTCTGTGTCAGAGGTAAACTCAAATATTAAACATCATCCTGTCCGTATGATGTGTGTTTAGTGTTTGTAAGAAAGTGGAAGTACCAGTTATTTTATGCAAGTTATTACTACATGGGCTATCTTTATTCTTTACTGCAGGTGATTGATGGCTATGAGAAGGCTTGTAAAAAAGCTCTAGAGATCCTGCCAGACTGCGTATGTTCCTCAGCCGAAAACCTCCATGATGTAAAAGAGGCCACAGCTCTCATCCGCACAGCAGTAATGAGCAAACAGTACGGGAACGAAGACTTCCTCGCCAACCTCATTGCACAAGCCTGTGGTGAGCCAGTACTCCACACTGATTTAACCAGAACCAACATCTGTCGTCTTATGTGTGCCTTTGTTTATCTCTGACTCTTTTTTTTTTTGGTCTGGGTTTGTGCTTCAGTATCTATATTCCCAGAGTCCGGTAATTTCAACGTTGACAATGTCAGAGTATGCAAGATTTTGGTAAGCTTCATTACATATTGATTGTCATGTTTGTAAGTTGTTGTTGTTTGCATGTAAGTTGTCTGGTTTATGTTTTCAGGGTTGTGGAGTGACAGCTTCTTCCATGCTTCATGGCATGGTCTTTAAGAAGGAGGCAGAGGGAGACGTCACATCAGTTAAAGATGCTAAGATCGCAGTGTTCTCCTGCCCCTTTGACTGCATGGTGACAGAAACCAAGGTAACTAAAATTCAGTCTTGTCCAGCAGGATTGATACTCTGAGAGAAGTGAAGAAATCCGTTTTCTTTTACGCAGTTGAAAAATCAAAATGACATAATTTTGTTCACCTAGGAGCTCTGGGAGCCCGTTTTTGACACAAGGTCTGGGCCGAAGTTTTCTTTTCTCCCAGAAGTTTGTCATCTATTGTGTGATTTGCTGATGGTGATTTGCCATCATTAAAAAATAACGGCCAACACTTTAACACAAGATGCCCTCTACCAACTGTAAACCATCCATCTCTGTAATTGTTAGTGTTGTAACAACATGAATAAAACTGATTTCCATGCTGGGTGGGGGTGTTTCCTGTAGATTGGCAGTGGGGTTTCTCTTGGACTATAAAATGTTCTTGAGAAAAATAACCTCTCTCTCCATTAAAGGAAGCCTCTTAACTTCTCATGGACTAATAATCCATATGGTAACTAGTTAAGTGACCACAAGAAAAACAGTTTATTTTAGGAAATGTAAAATTTCTGGACCTAAAATCATCCGAAGCTTCTTATTTTGTCACTGACGATAGTGCTGTTCGTTCCGCAGGGCACAGTGTTGATAAATAACGCACAGGAACTCATGGACTTCAGTAAGGGAGAGGAGGACATGATGGAGGCTCAGGTTAAGGCCATTAAAGCGACCGGAGCGAATGTGGTGGTAACAGGAGGGAAAGTGGCCGACATGGCGCTGCATTACGCCAACAAGTACCAGCTGATGGTGGTCAGGTAAGGCCAGCAGAGTCTCAGGTAGTCAGAGAGCAGAATAAGGTGTTCTGACCCAGAAATGTCTTTTAATTAGTGCTTCGTTTTTCCACAGAAGCATATTTTTAATTATTTGATTGAAAGCTACATGCATCTTCTTCCCTACAGACTAAACTCCAAGTGGGACCTCAGGAGGTTGTGCAAGACTGTAGGAGCTGTAGCTCTACCCAAAATTGTATGTACAGTCATGTTTGCTGTAGTCAGGCAGGTAAACTAAATTTAAACTGACTTTGTTGTGTTGTGCGTTCTCAGACGGCCCCGACTCCTGATGAGTTGGGTCACTGTGACAGCGTGTACCTAACAGAGGTGGGAGACACTCAGGTGGTGGTCTTCAAACACGGCAAGTTTCTCTTTGCTCGGTTTTTCTCATTTAGAACTGATCTGTCTTTTATCTCAGTTTAGGTGTAATGGAGTGTCTGTTGTGTTTTTAAACAGAGAAAGAAGACGGAGCCATCTCCACCGTGGTGATCAGAGGCTCCACTGATAACCTGATGGATGACATCGAGAGGGCCATAGATGATGGAGTCAACACTTTCAAGGTTCTAGTTAGGGTGAGTCAGCTTGTTGTTGTTTTTTCCTGTTTATTAAAAGGACATAAATATCAAAACTGATGTGTTGGGGGGGCGGAATATGAACTGAACTAAAACTTAGTAGTGATTAAAATCTCAGCTAAACTTTGATTAGCCTGCATATTTGCTAAAATCTTTAGATTTTTCACCCTCCTTAGGACAAACGTCTGGTACCTGGGGCCGGAGCCACTGAGATCGAGCTGGCCAAACAGATCACCTCATACGGCGAGGTTTGCAGAATTTGACTGCTGTTTGAGCTAACGGACACGTTTCTGAAGCACTGATCTCCTTGCTCTCTCATGCGCAGTCTTGCCCCGGTTTGGAGCAGTACGCCATCAAAAAGTTTGCAGAAGCCTTTGAGTCGGTGCCTCGCGCCCTGGCTGGGAACTCCGGTGTGAAGGGGAACGTGCTCATCTCCAAACTGTATTCTGAACATCACGAGGGAAACAAAAACATGGGCTTTGATATTGAAGTAAGTGATATTCTTTATTTAAAGCACATTCTGTGTCATTTCATTCTGCTTAAAGTTATAGTTGAGTTCTATGAAGAGGGTTTCTGAGGTAAGGTTATGAACAACTAATATCTTACCTGTTGCAGATAGCTCATTGACCTCAATTTGGAGTTTAATTCTTAATTCCAACAGCTCCTTGAGGCCATCTTAAAACAACTCAAGTTATTAAAATGTAAATTCTAATTTATAAATCTTTTAGTTTAGCATCACAGATAATTCTATGTTCATTTACAAGTGTAAATAGTGGCATAAGCAGCAGCAGCTAGCTGTAGCACTTCATTACTCAATATATATTTTTAACTCCACGTTACTCTAAATTAAAATGTATTTGAAATTAAATTTTGGAAGCAGCGTTTACAAAACAGTGTTGTGTGCAGTTATTTTTATCCCTAACAATCCAAATCGTGCTCGTTTCTGGAGTGACTCAACCGCTGGAGGCTGCAGCAGTTTTCCTCGCTGCTAAGCAGCTCTGATTGTTCTGCAGAGTGCGACTCAATGTGAGCGCTGCTTGTGATTGTGTGACTGTGGTGCTGTCTGCAGGGAGAGGGCCCTGCTGTGAAGGACATGCTTGAAGCTGGAGTTCTGGACCCGTACCTGGTCAAACACTGGGGCATCAAACTGGCCACCAATGCTGCCATCACAGTGCTGAGGGTGGATCAGGTCAGAATAAAAACACTCATCACAAAAACACTTTATATCACCAAGAAACTGCACCAATTTTAGAGGCATTTTTTAATCATTGTAGAGGTTGTTAAAAATATCATTTTAAACAGAAAATTAAACATTAAAACATATGTATATATAGATAATAAATATGGTACTATGACTCACCAGTTTTAATCAAAAGCTCGTTTTTTACTAAATATGTTACTGGATAAGTTTATTGTAATCTTTGTGAAACACAAACCTGTACATAAATCATGAGGATGCTCCATACAGATGTTTTTAAGTGTTTTCTTTCAGAACGATCTGCTTCCTGTCACATGATTTAAAACGTATATTAAATATTCTAAAAGTTTATATTCTGTTTGAGTTGTGTGTACTTTTATTGAAAGCTAGTCTTTCCTCAGAAGGAGGATGGAGTCGATGAGAAGGGGTAGCGTTCAGATAGGTAATGTTAGTGTGTGTTGATACATGTATGATCCAGATCATCATGGCTAAGGCTGCAGGGGGACCCAAGGCTCCCAAGCAGAGAGGCCACTGGGACAAGGATGGTTGGGATGAAGAGCCCGATCAGTTTGAAACCCACCATTAGAGGACGTCAGTAGGTGTCGGAACGGCGTGTGTCCACTTTGAACTAAAAATAAAGATACTTTGGTTAAATTAACTCGCTCACAGGACACTGAAGATGTCTGCCCTGTCACTACTAACACTGACTGAATTTACTGCTGAGATGATTCTTAACATCACTGAGTGTGAAACTGTGAACTAGCAGGAAACCGATGGTTTGTGGTGCGATCGCATGCAGCCTGCACTTCTTACCTCACTTCACTCAGGACGGGATTAAACTATGTTCCCAATGTTACAATGTGAGGACGTTGCTGTGTGTGTTCTTGAACATTTAATGAGCATGAAGGTTCTTTGTTCAAGCTGGACATGTTTAAAATGTGCTCAAATGGCTAATTTCTGCTGCTGACACTGTATTCAAGCAGCTGTTATTTCTATCTAGAAATAATGTTGTTGTTTTTTTTTTTGTTTGTTTGTTTTTTTCCAGATCATTATGGCCAAACCTGCAGGTGGACCCAAACCTCCACAGGGCAACAAGAACTTGGATGAAGATGACTGAACTTGCTGATGCTCCTCTAACCCTGAACGCTTCACAGATCTTTTCTACTTGTTTATTTAAAGCTCAACTCTTTGGTTTATGTTCTAGACACCCACTGCTTGTATTGGTGAACATACGTGGAGTTAAAAAGTGCAGGTGGCTCCGTTTGCTTTTTATGGTCTTAGGTCCCAAATAAAAGGCATGTGCGCTGTCAGAGTGTACTTTGAGGTTTTGTCACTGTTTTATTTTCGTTTTATTTGTTCCACGTGTTAACTGGTCATTCAGTAGAGCACTTGGGACATGTTTGGTGTCCTTTGTCTTTTAGCAGCTGCGGATAATCTGCTTCAGTCTCACCTTCCTCCGTCTCTGTGGTCCTCCTCCTCCCTGGTAGCTCCATATTCAACACATTTTGTTCATTTTATCCCTAGTCTGCTCATGTCCAAAACATGTCAGCATCACCTCCAAACTCATCCTGAGCCGTCCCTCTGATAATCTCGTTTTTATGAAACTCTTCGATCTTTACATCATAGCAGGTCTCACTACCATCTTGTATATAAACCACCTCTTTCAATCTTGCAGCTTTTAGTCATAAAGCAGCGCTCTTCATCTCTTACACACTTCCTGTTGTAAATTCAGTACTCCGTTCAGTGATGGAGGAGCACATTACTTTCAGCTTCACTTCCACCTGCGTCCCTCATAATCTGGCTTCTTTCCAAAGCATCTCTCTCCAGATTCTCTTCCACCTGCTCCCTTCTCTCACTACAGATCAGGCTTCTGTGAACATTGTTATCACTCAGTAATGCTGTAGTTTTCTGCCATCCTGTGGTTTGTTGTTTGCATGTTGAAACAACAGAAATTATACCTGCACTGGTTTATTTATAGTTCATAAAGAGACTTAAGTTTACAAGAATCCATTTATATTTTAATGCAAATTCACTGGTTTTGTGACAGAGTGACAGCTGTGTCTATGAGCAGCAGAGGGAGCTGGACTGAACGTGGGCGGGTTGAGGCTGACGTTCCCGGGATTAACTTGTTTATGTCGCCATGTTATTCGTGACATCCTGCACCTGACGGTCTGATGGGGGCTCGTGGGGACATCTTTGTGACGTTTTAACCCAGCAGCAGCAGTCTGGGTATGGGTCAGTGGGGGTCCAGCACCGCGGCGTGAGGAGGGGAGCACCCAGGTCTCATCTCATGTCCCGCCAGTCATCAAAATGGGGGCCGACGGAAGTAAAAGCAGTAAGGTGAGCTGAGAGAAACTAGCTAACGGTGTGACGCGCGTGTCGGTGGTTCCCCGTTACCATGACGATGCTGGGTGTCTGTTGTAACGGACTGTTTACAGCCGCGTGCACCTTTTATGAATAATACGTTGAAATGAACGACTGCATCTCTTGATCACAGGAAGTAGTTCGGACTAAAAAATGTTAATTTGGGGCCTTTACTTTGAAGGTAAGACGGTCAAACTTCCGGTTTCGTTATAAATCTGTAAATAAAAAAATATGTAATGCCTTCATTAAGTGTTGGAGCTCATATTGGTGGCTTTAAATTCAGAATAACTTATTTAGCGGAAACGCTGCTGCTGACTTCCTGTTTGATTATCAGACAGTCCTGAAGGCCCGAGGGGCTGCAGTGTTCTGATGACTGCTGGAAACATGGATTTTTACTGTTGTTACAACACAACTGTACTGATGCGCTGAACAACTTGTGAACTAGGAAAAAAGCTCATAAGAGGCTATCTCAGCTACAGCATTAAAACAAAAAATCCAGTTTAAATGTTCAAACAGACACAGCCTCAAACTAACAATCAGAGCTGTAAGTTGTAGCATAATTTTTTTTGGTACCACTTTACAATAAGGCTCCCCTTATAGATGGCTATAGTTTATAGATGAATTCCTCTATAAACACTTTATAAACCATTAATAGCTACTTATTAATTTAGGGCGAGAAAAGAGACAAAACTGACCAGTTTCTTAATGACAATTGAGCCACATCTGTTCACCTATATTCATTCATTAATTCAACCTTTATTTATACAGGTTAATCCCACTGAGCCTCGAGGACTCATTTACAAGAGAGACCTGATTTCAACAAAGAGTGATGACAACAGTGGATAACAACAATAGACAATCATAAAAGAGGCATACAGATTTGTTTTTACAAATTAAAATAAGATGGCAAAAAAAGTAGCAAAAACAGCTAGATTATAAGACGAATTGTAGAAAACTAAAAACAGGAACATGTCTGCATTGGTCCCTGCCAGGAGTCCAACAGATTCTTAAAGCCACTTAGAGAGGTCAAGGTCGAGAGCTTCAAATCTTTTTGTAAGATATTCCAGGAAACAGGAGCGGAGTAGGAGATGGTCCTTTTGCCAAGTTCAGTCCTCACTGAGGGAACACTGCAGGTAATAATGTCCTGAGTGCACGTTGTAGCTGCACTCACGCAGAGACATGTGGGAGGAGATGTATGAAGGCAGCAGACCAAGAAGTGATTTAAAGATGAAAATGTACCAGTGAGAGTCTGCGTGAAGTTAATGATGTCCAGTTAAAATATGAATACAGGGTGCAGTGGTGGGTACGATAATCACAGCCAGTTATGAATCTTAGTGCACCATGATAGACAGCATCCAACATCTGCAGGGTTCTTGTAGGAGCTTCATGTAAATAATGTCACCGTAATCAATGGAGGGAAGGAAAGTCACACTTACAAGGCGTTTCCTAGCATTCAGAGTTAGACAGGATCTATTTCTAAAAAAGAAACCCAATTTAACTTTCAGTTTCCTTACTAGGTTTTCCACGTGGAGCTTAAAAGAGAGATGCGAGTCAACCAAGATACCCAAATATTTATAGGAATCAACAAACTCAATAGGGACACCATTTGATGATAAAATCAGAGGAAGAACTGCTGGGACCAACTTCCACTTTGAAAAAAAAGCATTCCTTTGTTTTTATTGGCATTTAGGATAAGTTTGAGACAGAACAAATCTGACTGGATGATGTCAAATGCAGATTGCAAAAGCTGGAAAGCCTTAGCAACTGTTTTAGCTTGACAATAAACAACTGTGTCATCAGCATAGAAATGTAAGGATGCATTAAGGATACTCTGACCTACATTACCTATGTAGATTGTAAAGCAGGTGGGTCCTAAGACTAAGCCTTGTGGTACACCATTGTTGACTGTTAAATAACTGGAGGAAGTACCATTATGTTGAACACATTGCCTCCGATCTGAGAGATAGTTAGAGAACCAACCAATGGTATGAGCTGAGAAACCAATTTCTGAGAGCTTATGACACAAGATGTTATGATCCACAGTGTCAATCTTTAGACAGGTCTAAGAAAAGTGCAGCACAATAATCCTTAGCATCCAGTGCTTCAACGTCATTAAGAACCTTCAGTGAAGCAGTTGTTGTGCTGTGTTGTTTCCTGAAACCAGATTGGGAGGTAAATATATTGTAAATATTTTTCGTCTAGAGTTATATTAAACATTTCAGACTAAGTACCATAAGTACACTAAGCATTTGTAAACCCAATTATTTTATCGCTGTATTACTGTATTATAATACTTATAATGCAGTGATAAAGTACAATAATTATATCCTTAAAAAATAGGTTTACAAATGCTTATTGTGCTTTGTAACGTAGTCTGTTTTCTTATATAGGTGGCTGATATGGCTCCCTATTTGGCAAGAAACTGCAGTTTTGTCTCTTTCTTGCCCATTAATGCATAATAAGCAGTTATTAATGATTTATAGGAATTAATAACATATCTATAAACTATTTATTAGCCATATGATCCCTATTGTAAAGTGGTAGCCTTGTGTATTTTGGGGTTTGATGCAACAAATGGATTGGTAGATTTATACATCCTCTCAAACTCAATCAGAATGGATGAGAATAGTTGATGAACAACCAGGGTTGATCTCTCAATCTTGGTTCCATCAGACCAGAGAATCTTGTTCCCCACAGTCTGATAGTCCTTTAAACAGCTTTCAAGAACATTTTTTCATTGTGAACCACAAGAACTGATGGTCGCACTCATGGGATGTTACAGTTCTACATACTTCATGTATAATACCCAGACCAAGTTATCCAACTCTTCAATAGTGCAAACAATTGAAAACCATCTCAGTTATAGACTTTAGTAAACTTTAAACCAAGAACGAAGCAGCATTTTGAGAAGGTAACACAAAAATCAACCTGTTTCCCACTGAAGACAGAAAACAAAGGATTGTGTCATAATCCAAAGCAAAGAACATCACATGAACACTTGCAGACGATGTGATAGGCTGTACGATACAATCCTTTCCCATCTGGCTTTGATTTATCCTTTTGTGGTCAAAACACAAAAGTTCAGACTAATGAGGGTTGAGCTACCCTCAGCTAAATGTGGAGCTTCACTGTGACACTGACAGTGGGAGCTTCAGCACCTCCTCAATTCATCTAAAGTCCCGTCTCCTTTTTTTTTTTTTTAAGTAGGTTTTGTCATTTTGATAAACAAAGGATCGACATGTTACTGAGCATCTGGCAGAAATGAAGCTATTTTTATAATAATAATAATAATAATAATAAGTGCTATGTGATGTCATATCCTGATGCATGCTCAATAATCCAGGTAGAAAAATCTAAAAAAGTTAAATCTGGTTGATGTCACATCACTCTTTACATGCATTCCTGTTGATGATGCAGTAGAGGTGGTCAGTTTAAAATTAAAATCAGACACCACTCTGAGCAGCAGGACCACGCTTTCCACAGAACAACTGTGTCAACTCTTGAAACTGTGCCTGCAGTCAACCTACTTCACATATGGGGAGCAATATTATAGGCAGAAACATGGGTGTGCTATGGGGTCTCCAGTTTCTCCTATTGTTGCCAACCTGTACATGGAGGAGGTAGAAAAGAGAGCCTTGACGTCCTTTTCAGGGACACCACCAAGTCATTGGTTCAGGTATGTTGACGACACCTGGGTTAAAATCAAATCTCAGGAAGTCCAATATTTTACTGACCACATCAACTCTGTGGATAAATACATCAAGTTCACACGAGAAGATGAAAAAAATGGCAGGTTGGCTTTCTTGGACTGTGAGGTCTCAGTCTCTGATAGAGGACATTTGCAAACTGAGGTGTACCGCAAACCCACACACACAGACCAGTATTTGCAGTTTGACTCCCATCACCCTTTGGAGCACAAGTTAGGAGTCATCAGGACTCTGTATCACAGAGCAGACAGCGTCCCCACTAGCCAAGCAGAAGGAGAAATCCCACACAAGACAGGCTCTAGAGCACAGGTGTCGAACTTCAGGCCTCGAGGGCCAGAGTCCTTCAACTTTTAGATGTGTCTCTGATGCCACACAGCTGAATCAAATAAGGAGGTCATTAACAGGACTTTGGAGAACTTGACTGCACTGAGAAGCTAATTCAGTCATATGATTCAGGTGTTTTGGACGAGTGCAGCATCTAAAGTTGCAGGACTCCAGCCCTCGAGGCCTGGAGTTTGACACCCCTGCTCTAGAGCAATGTGGATATCCTAACTGGGCCTTCCTGAAAGCAGAGAAGAAACCCAAACAGGACTCCAGTCAGCCATCAGGTGAAAAGGAGGAACCCAGACCAGTGGTCATTCCATATGTTGAGGGAGTATCAGAGAAACTGAGACGTTTATTTTCTAAACATAACGTCCCAGTGGCTTTTAAACCCCAAAATACATTACGGCAAAGACTGGTTCATCCCAAATATCCAGTCCCCCGGCACAAACAGAGTAATGTTGTGTATGCTGTTCAGTGTCAGGAGGGCTGTGATCAGTCTTACATCGGGGAAACTAAACAGCCACTGGCCAAAAGGATGGCCCAGCACAGAAGATCAACATCATCAGGCCAGGACTCTGCGGTCTACACTCATCTCCAGGCCAGCGGTCACTCTTTCAGGGATGAAGATATGCACATCCTGGATAGAGAGGAACGATGGTTTGAGAGAGGGGTAAAGGAGGCCATCTTTGTGAAAATAAATCGTCCATCGTTAAACAGGGGTGGAGGCCTCCGGGTTCAACTGTCCCCCTCTTACAATGCTGTGATTGCTAGTATCACTCAGCCCTCTGTGAGTAGTAAACAGTGTAGTGAGCTAGGGTTAGGTTAGCTTCAGTGTTAGCTTAGGAGCTCCACTACAATCAATATTTAATAACGGGTTCTCTCTTTTTCGAGCTACTTGACAGATATGTGACAGAGGTACTGTGTTGGAGATGGTCTAATCAGTGACATGAGACGTTAATTTTCTTTGACCCATCAAAATGAATGTGGTCATTTATCAAAATTTAACATCAAAACATTGTACACTTGATTATTCTGATCGGCTCTGATTAATAAAACTTGGCACGTTTTACTTAACAAAAACAACAGACATTTCTGAAGATATCTGGATTAATTACTGGCAAGATAGAAGAGTTTTAAAGATGGGAAATGAAGGAGTTTAAATGGAGGGAAAAGATGGATGAGGGAAAGTGTGTTGACGAAGAACGGCACCCTCCATCCGAACCCAGCTCAGCCTCGGTACACTGGTAGTGAAGCGACTCGTTACCTTTGCAGAAGATAGGTCAGCTCCGGTACGGAGTTCCATTTCAACGCTACCTTTCAGCGTCTCCTTAGTATGGCTGAGAATCATCCGAAGTAGTGACGGTACTCCGTTCAACAACACGCTCACCTCACGGGTGGACTCACATGAGCTGTGAGTCCGTCAGAGGTTCCACTCAGATGTGGAAGATTCCATATTCCCAACTAGACTCGGAAGAACTGCTGTTCGGAACTTCTGTTCTCTCCCCGAACTTCTGTTCTCCTGTGCTCCCAGAACTAACTGGAACTAGGAAGTGTCGACTTTTAAAGAGTTCTGCTTCCGGTCCCTTTTGGGAAGTCCTGATTGGTTGAAAGAACCAACAGGGGTGTGGTTTTAGTGACGTCAGAGGGTCACTACAAGTCAAGAAAACAGCAGGAATGATTTAGAAACGTCCCGTACAGACAGAAGACATGTTATGGCGAAGTGGGAGGAAGCAGATGCCAGTAGCTTCTTATTTACCATCTGCTAGGTTTGAAAACAATCCACTTCGTTCTAATAACTTCTTTCTGACTTTCGACCGACATCACTACTTCTCATTTCAGACAGAAGATCAAAATGCATAATTACTTTGTAACAGACATTTAACTTGATTTCTACTTTGAATGAGGATTAAAAATCATTAATACTGTTTCACAGTTGATTTAAAATGAGTGGTTCATTTCAACATTTAAAATGGTTTGAACTAAACACACTTTTGATTATCAAGACATTGTAAAAATAGTAATGATAACATAAAAAAGAGAGTGTTCTTTCAATTGATTAGTTCAGGATACAATTAGAAAGTCTCTGGATGAGCTAATTTGTATTTCTGGATTCAAATCAATGAAATAACAGTTCCTGTCCCATGAAGGTCCTCAGAGGCAGGTTTTGACCTGAGGCCGAGTTCACTACAACAGCCATCAGTGTGCTAATGATCCATTGTTAGGCTGATGGTCCTTCTTGAGCATGTGATCAGCTGGTTTTGGTTGTTAGCAGCAAACTGGTTGATCCACTCTGAGAAGGTGCTATTTAAGAGACTGAGCTGAATACAGCACCTCAGACTGAGGAAGTCTCTCGGATGAGAGACGAAACGTTTCTACATTTTTTTGTTGTTTTGCTTTGTTTTGGTTTTTTGAATGTCCAGAGGACCAGATTTAACTTTTTTAGATATGTGATGTCATCATTGTATGTTCCCAATGGCGAAATTGGTTCTCTGCATTTAACCCATTGCACCTGGGATACACCCAGGTGGAGCAGTGGAGCAGTGGGCAGCAATGTAAGCACCCGGGGAGCAATTGGGGATTAGGTGTCTGTGCTTAAATAGTGAAACTAAACTAGTTTTAAAATGTAATTCTTGGTGAACTTCCCTTCTGTGTCCATGAACTCCCAGAAAGGAACCATGGCCACTTCCATGGAGTCAGACTAAATTATTCCTGGAGAAAAAAAAATGTTCATTGATATTATCCATAATATTTAACATGACATGAACTCATTTTACCTTCATAGCATCAAATAATTATTCCTTAACTGTTTTTTTTTTTCTGTGTCCTTTCGGCTGACTCCATACTCCTGCCCTACAGAGGGCCTCTGAAGGGGGGGAAGATGAGCACATCTCCTCTGGCTGGCGTGGCTTCCTCTCCACTGTGGGCCTTTCTATCCCAGCAGGCATCTGTCGCCTGGCTCCACCTGCACTGGGTCTGGGCCAGCGTCGCATGCTCCAAAGCAAAGCACCCGAGGTTCCAGAGCACGTCCTGAGGTTAGCGGGGGTTGGTCTGGGCATGCTGAGAGCAGAGTGGAGCCTTCCAGGGTTTGTTACCATGTTCCTACCTGAGTTCCCTCACAGACCTGCAACTGGGCACCAACACTTTCAAGTAATTATCTCTACATGAAGTGACAAAATGATGAATCCTGGCTTGCCTCAGATGTTATCTTCTCTTTCTCAATGACTGCACCGTCATCATATTTTTCTCTAGGTGTTGGGTTACATTGCCAAAGGTTCATTTGGACCAATTCTAAAAGTGAAAGACAAGACCAAACAGAAAACATATGCTGTTAAAGTGAGTCTTTAATTTAGCAAACACCTATGAGACTTTTGAAAGAAAGTAAAAATGAATAAAGTCTAAAGTTTTCTTTTCATTTTAGCATTTTTATCCACCAACAGGTTATACCTAAATCAGAAATCCTACGACTCGGGGTCCTGGAGCAGTCCAAAGAAGAAGTTATAGTCCAGGTGGGCACTGCCTTACAAATCACCATGAATCAGTAAATAATGTAACATTTTATGGTATATATCCACTCTGAGGGGCTTTAAAATCAGAAAACATTTTGCTCAGTTGGAAAAACCTTATGTTTTATTAACTTGACGGTACTTTGCAATTTCTTGAAAATTACATTTAAAACAAGAAAGAAAAAAGTTTAAGCTCATGTTGTATGCAGATGATATGCTGTTATTTATTAACTTGAAAGTATTCAAGCTAAAGTATAATTAAGCTGCTTTGCTCACTGCTTCAAAAAGAAACCCCTCTGTTAACATTTATCCATAAAACTTCATAATTTTAGGGATAATTTTGATCAGCAGTTGAAGAACAGATGAAGACCCCACTGTGGGTCATGAAACACAGTGGAGCGACTTCAGATCAGAATATTTCTACTGTTTGTCATAATTGTTGCATGAGATACACACAGTAACTATAAATGGATACAAGTAGTTTCATGGGTTTTATTGCCTTTTTATTGTCTTTGTGTTGTTTTATAACTGGTTTATTAGCTACGTTTGTATCCAGCAGTAGTCAGGCCTCTGCTGCTTTTCCCATTTATGAGCTGGCAGCTGAAATGTTTGGGAACAAAAATCTTTGTGCTTTAATTTCCCCAAAGTTTTAGAAGTTATCTGTTAAAAACTGAGCAAAGAAAGAACGTCCAGCCCTCTCTTTGAGCGACACACAGGACTAAGCTTTTCCAAGTTCACAACCTTTGACCTTTGCCCACAGCGTCAGGTTCGCCATCCGTTTGTCCTCGACCTTCAGGACTGCTGGCAGACTCAGCGCCACCTTTACATTAGTGAGTCAGTGTGACCCACTTTGACCCAGATCCACAGTCCCCTTCACTCCCCCTGTGTCCCCTCAGCTCTGGTCTTTCTGTCCAGGATCTACCCACAGTACCCTTCCCAGCAGTCAGATATGACCTTAGAGACAAAGTGTGTTTGATTTGTGTGTGTCTGTTCTTGCACATTGCCTGAACACATGCTTGAACCAGACCAACAACCCTTACTCCACCAGTTCCTGTGCTTTGAGAAGCTGTGGTATTCTCTCTCCCTCCCCTCCAAAGCATTTACCCTCATTTCCCTTGATTATCCACTGACTCAGAAATTATGACCCACTTGTTTGCTTCGCCACCCCCTGATGAGAGCCATGCCCAGAGACCATGAATGTTACTGCAGTTACACAAGAATATACACCATAAACAGCACGGCATGCTCGACCTGTGAACCATCGCTGTTATTTTATACCCAACACACAGAAGATAACTTTGGATGCTACATTTCTGCAGCGTGGAGGCTGAGAGCTAAAAAGGCTCCAAAAGAATTGTTAAAGCTACAAGAGCAAAGTCCTGGTTAAAAGCTAAAGTAGCAAAAGGTTAGTTTAAAGTATCAGGAAGGTAGCTAGAAGTTCAAAAACCTAGCTAAAAGTATCAGAAGGCTAGCTAAAGTTACAAAAGGCTTGCTAAAAATCTAATGTAGTATAAACCATAAAAGTAAAGCAACTATGATGTTGGTGTTAAAGAGAGCCATGTTTTTGACGGAACTGGAGTGATCTCAATATATTTTAATGGGCTAATATCTGTAAATAAGGTTAAATATTTTGAAAAAAAGAAAAGAAAGTTACAAAAGAAAAAGTCAAAGCATCTGTCTCCACAGTGAGCTGAACATTTTATTTACCGTAAGTGGCTAAAATAGCAAAAAGTGTCAGGTTGTAAACAATGTACTGAAAATAAAAAAAATAAAAACAGTGCAACCCAAAATAATAAAAATCAACATTCAGGAATTCAAGCCAGTTTAAATCTGGAAAGATGCTGAATGGTTACCTGTTTTCTTCTTCTTCATTAAAAAAACCACAACTATTAATAAAAAACTGTTCTCCTTAACGTTATTTTCCCCTTTCAGATTGTTTCCTCCACCTCCTCACCCTCTTCCCCTTACTGCCCCTAATGTTCAACACAGAGACACTTTTTATTTTTCATGTATTTACTTTCATTTAGACAGTGTCACATACTGCAGAGGCCTGTAACGTTCCTTCTCCTCTCACAGTGTGCGACTACTGCAGCACAGGTGACCTGTACACCTACTGGCAGATGATCGACCACTTCTCTGAAGACACGGTGCGAGTGTTTGCTGCAGAGCTGGGCTGTGCGCTTGGTGAGTACGCTGCAAAAAATACAACAAATACAACTAATTATATTAGGGATACATGATATTGGATTTTTGGCCGATATACCGATATGTTAGAACTTATTTGTCCGATAACCGATACCAATATCGATATATTTTTTCTCCTAGACCTACTTACAGAGACGACAAAGCTTTCTCTGCAGTGGAATTAAAATACTACATTATTCTGCATGGTCTTTGCCAGTTTGACCTGCTACCAAATGCAGATGCCAAAAAGGGGCTGAAAATAATGTAACACTTCAAATTGAATTATGTTTAATGTCAAATTTATTCATGACATTTACTCTCGCTAACACAATGACAACACTCAAACAGTGCACATTTGTAAATTTTCACAAATCTAAACTCAACGGCGCGCGTGATGTCATAACGTTGTGCTGGTGCTGCAGGCATCCTTGGCACTGGGTTGTCATATAAAAACAGCACCTATATATATATATATATATATATATATATATATATATATATATATAAAACAGCGCCTTTTATATCAGTGAGTTAATTTGATGGAATGGCCGATGTCCAATATTTAACTTTATTGCTGATATCGGCCGATACCAATACAATGCCGATAATATTGTGCATCCCTAAATTATAGAATAAGTCCTTTATTCAAAAGCGTCAAGAGAGAATTAAAACTGTAAAAAGTTTTTTTCTATGATTTGAAATTCAATGAACTTGTTTTTGAAGTTGAAATTTTTACTCTATATTAATTTGCAATTATTTTTAAAATTTGATCTGAATGATTTGTTTCAAAAGAGTCAAACAGAGGCAACAAACTTCTGGAAAAGTTGCATAATTCAACACTTTTTGCATGATTAATACTTTTATATAAAATTTGAAACCAAAGAACCACTGTTTGAATTGTTTGTACAGATTTTTAATAAATCTAAATGGTCACCAATCTGGAATATTAATGGAGGAGAATGAAAATAAATCAAAATACATTTTTACGGAGATTTATTTTTTTTCTGCTCAGCTCCGATGCTGTGATCTTTATCCAACACATGACGAGTTGTTTCAGTAAAACAAAACAAAACCATTTTTTACATTTTCAGTTTCAAAGAGTTTTCAAAGGCGGTGTTCTGCAAATCATTATTTTTTGTTTAATTTTAATTTGTATGTTGTTTTTTTTAAACAGGCTTTCTGCATGATTTTGGGATCATCCACAGAGATGTGAAGGTAAGAAAAGGAGAGAAAACTCAAAAAGCATCAACTTTATTATGACATTACATCCATCATGTCTTTGTATCACATATCTGTGTAAGAAAACTTTATAAACTGCAGCAGATTCATAAAGAAAGATTTTTCTTTTAAATTTTTTTCACAAAGATTGGGGCGTTGTATTTTTCATCACCAGTTTTTTTAATACCCTTCTGTGATTTTTTTTTTCCTGTTTCACATGTGAACCAGAAACTGAGCAGTTATTTCATTTAATTTATGTTAAGCTCTGATCTGTCAAATAATATTTTGTATTTTTGGTTAAAGCCCCTTCACACTTCATACACTGTTGCTGCTCATAAAATATATTTTTTTTAAACTCGTGGAATTTATTAACTTCTTTTTTTTTTACTGAAAATACAAAACTTCTGTTTTATCAATCTAAAAACTAATGGAATGTGTGTTTTTTTTTTTAATGTGCCTCATAGATGGAAAACATTCTGCTGACTGATAACGGTGAGTGAATCTTCAACTCCAGCAGAGAGCAGCAGTTCTCTGTGAAGCAGCTTCAGTGTTTAACAATTAATGTTTTAGTTTTTGTGTTATTGTCCCCCTGTCGCAGAGCAAAAAGAGGAGATGGGAAAGACCCTCCATTCATTTGTCCGTCCATAAATGTTGTAAACATGATAAATTGAAAAATAAGTGAGGTACCAACTTTTTAGTGTGTGGCTACATCTAGGTGTAATAAATGACACAATCAAAAACTGGGTTGCCACATCAAAATCCAAGATGGCCACCATACATACTGTATGTAAACTAACAAGCCCTATCATTTGAGGAAACGATACTTTCTACTTTTTAGTTTTCTTAAAAGGATCAATCTATTATCTTTTACTCGATTCTTCCTTTCCGGGTGTATGTGTGTGTGTGTGTGGGGGGGGGGGGG